AGAAAAACATCATGATACATGTAATCATCTTGCCCAACCCTTCCTGAGGGGATCTTACAGTAAGTCCTACTTATTCTTCAGAGGTGACTAATGTGCTTTTGAACAAAAAGTCATTACTATCCCAACTCAATGATGTGAAGATTGTGATGAGGCTTAGCTATGCTCATGTGGTTTGACAATCATAATCCATTCTTTCTTATCTGCTCAGAGCCTTTTGTCTGTGTAAAGTATACTATACTTCAAACATCTGTCAATCTTCAAGAGCCTAACATTTTAATCTATTTGCAAACTGTGGACTAATAATACATTTACATAGTTGACTAAGTACACAGTTTATTGTGCAGGCAGGGATATGAACTAACACATTGCAAATATAGTTTTTAAATGTTTCAGGATATTTCTAGAATATCCCTAAGCCGACCACTACACTTTTTGTGGCCCAAATGATGCAATGATACTAAAATAAATTTGGATTTAAGATTTCTTTTCATGAATCTCAAAGCTTTGGAAAATTGCACACATGCAATATACACAACAAAACTAAAAGGAAAGAAGAAAAAGTAAAACACAACACAGTGATCCAGAAAAACCCAGGGCAAAACGAAATCATACATTATAAGCCATTGTGAAAGAAACCTTAAGCAAAATTTTAAAACGTCAAGTCAGATTCTCTGATGGATTTGGGCAGTGAGTACCTTAGAAATGGTGCTGTACACAACAGGCCTGTATTGCCAGTAGTTTGAAGTCTGTTTTTTTTTCCTGAATAAGGAGGTTGGAAATCAACACATCTAAGGTTATGAGGCGAACCATACTCGTGCAATACGTCCTTAAGACAATCTGGATCAAGTACCTGATCCATGAGCCAAACAACCTTGAAGACCACTCTTAATTTCTCCGGTACATAGAGCAACACAGAAGATGGTAGTTACAAGCTGATGCACTGAAGGTTCTGAAGATCATTTAGCACTTTAGACGTTACCACAGTAAGTATGGTCAAAGGCATTGATTATATTAATTTCTACGGCTGACAGCTCCACATCATCTTCCCTTCATAACTAACCTCATTAGATCTCTCAACTCTAAACTCTACCAGTTTCTCACTACAGAGAAGGACAAAAAACTCAGTCATCTTCTACAGAAGAAAACCATCAACACCCCGGACACCCTCACCAACCCTAACCTTGTTGTCACCATACCTTCTGACCTT